ATTTAGTGTATTTCAAGAAAGTCATACAAAGTGCATTTGAGAATGTAAGGGTTTGCATCATTGCACAGGTGCTGAGAAGGAAGACTGAGTTTACATACTGCAGTCACTGCATGTGCATGAGCAGAGGGTCTACCCCATAAGGCAGGCGTTTAGCCACCCACATCCTCCTTACAGAATCTCCCCAGAGCAATCCGATCCACATGGCACCTGTCTTCTTCACTCCCTACCCTGTCAGATCCGCAGAACACAAACCTTGTGTGAGTGAAACAACTACATGTGCCACACAGGTGTGATGTCTCATCCTTACATGCACACACACACATTTAAATTCTATTTTATTTTGGTAGGCACACTTAACATGAGGTATACCCTCTTACTAAGCTGTTAAGTGTACCATACAATATTATTGAGCCTAGATACAATGTTGTACAGCAGGTCTTTAAAACACATTTAATCCATCCCGGTCAGTGCTGTTATAATTATTTCCCCTAGTGATCTGGGAGACCTGCACACTTTTTGTACAGCACCGTGTCCTATCAGACATGTCTCCGGAGGAGCTCATCTCTTTCTGTTCTCCTGCACTGAGCGCCAGCCTCACTCAAACTACTGTGCCTTAGGTCCCACTTGGGTTTCTTTCCAACTTATTGTTGCTCCTAGTAAGAGTTTTGTTTACATCCACTCCCTGTTGTAGGTTAGACACACTAAACATCAGATAAAAAAGCCGAGTACAAGTACGAGTGTCTCATGAATACTCTTGGTTTCTTCGGGTAGCTTCAATGGCAGTGTTTTTCTGCTTTAATGGGACTCACTGCTCATGGGAATAAGGAGCAACATAAAATGCAGTGATGTGAACAGATTTGAAAGACCAAAACACCACAATAAAATTCACCTTCTGGGACTCTCTAGGACTTTGAAGGAGGATTGTGGAGCACCATTGTATTTAAGCACCGCAGGTCCCTGAGCAGGCATAATTTCGAGACACATGGAGGGTCTCTGGGAACTGGATCAGTCTCAAGAATCGTTTTATGGAAAATATCCAATTAAGTGTTTGTTAACTTTTCATGTGGAAGAAATCTCATTTACATTAAACTAATTCACTGTTTTAGAGTAGAAAACACACACAAAGAATTACTCAGATACTGGAGATTAGATAATTCCCAGGTGAGTCTGTTCATTTGTGTGAAGTGGTAGCTCTTTCAAAGTTTAGTCCTGGGACTAGCAACATCAGCATCACCTGGAGATTTGTAAGAAATGCAAATTGTCACGCTGGGCTCCAGACCTACTGATCCAAAACTCCCTTGAAGGGGCCCAGAAATCTGTTTTTACAACCTACCAAGGGATTCTGGTGAGTGTGCAAATTTAAGAACCCCTTGGTTTAATGTATATTTTTTAAAAGAAAGATTTTGAAATTTTTAATCCCTTTTTAAAAATGTTATTAATATTGTAGTATCCTTTGAAATAATCCTTTAGGTCAGATAAGTAATTCTCATTTTTCCTTTCAAGATTATTAATGAAGGCATTGAGATTTCCTACTATCTTGATAATTCTGCTTATTGATAACTCAGAAAATATTTGTTTATCATTATTAAAACCATCACATTTTACTTTTCTTGTGTGGATATTTCATTACTACAAGTGGCCTGATGCATAGCTTTAACATCTGCATATTTCTAAGGAAAATAAGAAAGGAATGTCTGTAGCACCTTTAGAATCATGGATTAATAATGAAGCAATAATTAGGAACAGAGTGTAAAGCTCAGCTCAGTTACATGTAACATTCATTGCCATGCCAAGCTCACCAAAGGAGCTTACTGTTAGCTTTTATGATCCTGGTGATTTTTGCTACTGTTGTAGAGAAGGTTCCTGCAAGCCCTTCTGTTTATATTATGATGCAGCTTGACCAGTCAACAAAAATAAAACATAAAGAAATGGAAAATATGAAGAAAAAGCCCACTCAGCAGCCTGATTTCTCATATGGTATATATATTACAAGTTCTAAAGAAACTATTTAGCAATGTATTAAAAATAAATTTACTATGACTAAGTTCAGTTAAACTCTATTATGGCATTTCTGTCCTTAAGAGATGCCTTTATTTATTTAAGTGACATTTCCAGCTTAAAATTCTTCTTTGTCTAATATTAATATATTTACACCAGCTTTGTTTTAGTTAGTGGTCTTATGATTATTTCCCTCCCATTTCTTTATTTTAGACAGTTTTGGTCCTTTAAAACATACCTTGTCAGTAGCATATAGTAGGGTTCTGTTGTTTCTATTCAATTTGAAAATCTTTGCCTTTTATAGAATGTTTATTTCATTAACATTTAATTTAGTTACAGTTATTACTGTAATGACTTATTACTAAGTTTATTATCTTGCTTTATCTCTATTTTTCCCTTCTCTTTCTTTGTTTCTTTTTCTGCCCTTGCCTGCATATCTTTGTATTAATCAAGTATTTTTGTTATTCTCATTCCTGTCTCATTTTTAGTACTTATTCACTTGATTGCAATATTTATCCTTGACTTATTAAAGTTTACTTTAAATTTTTACCATTTAGCTCTGGCCGGTTTGGCTCAGCGGTTAGAGCATCGGCCTGTGGTCCGGAGAGACCCGGGTTCGGTTCCCGCTAAGGGCATGTACCTTGGTTGCAGTTTGTGCCCGGCCCTGGTTGGTCGTGCGGGTGGTGGCCACTCGATGTGTCTCTTTCACGTCGATGTTTCTCTCTCTCTCTCTTTCTCTCTCTCCCTCCCACTCTATCTGTGCAAAAAATGAAAAAATGTCCTCGGGTGAGGATAAAAAAAAAATTTTTTTCTACCATTTATATTTCCAAAACAAGGCAGTTACTTTGTAATAGCTTAACCCCTTTTGACCTCTACTTGGGACTTGGTATTCTCGTTCCTCTTTCATGTTACTACCATTCTCCTTTTTGTCTTTGAGGACATTTATTTTAAATTCTTGGCCCATTTGTTTCAATAATACAGAGAATATGTACTTAGTTCTTGTTTCTTATTGTGCTTACATTGCCCTCCCCCCCAATTTTATGACCTGTGAACTGCTATATTCTCCTTAACTATTATAGCCACCTGTCTGGTAGGAAGGGCCAGCGGCAGGTACCGACCTGTGACTCTCCTAGTGTGTTTGGACACAGGGCAAAGGTGAGCTTCATGGTAGAGAGGTGCAGGTACCATAGAACTGTTGTTCGCTAACTCCTAAAGGCTCTCTCCCCAAAGGTGCACCCTCAGGTTAAAGAGTAGAAATCCCTTAGGTTTGGAGTTTCACATTTTTGGACTAGAACTAGGTAATGGAGGAATCAATGGGAGATGGTAACACAACAGCCCATATATATTTTCATCAGTGCCTCAACCCTGAAGGGTCTGTGTTCTGCTCTCATAGTGTTCTGATAACACTATGCCTGATAGCACAGTTGGGCAAAGGTAGTTCCAAAGCCCCATGTGTATGGGAGGAGATGGAGGTGAACAGAGACTAAAACAGACCTCACAAAGTTTTTCCCTGACCACTGTCTCCTGCCCAGGCTGTATCTAACAAAGCCCCTATACCCACCTCAGCCAGATGTTGCTGACTTTGAAGATGGAGGAAGTAGACCACCAGCCAAGGAATGCAGGCAGCCTCTGGAAGCTGAAAAAGTGAAGGAAATGGATTCTCCACTGGATCCTCCAGAAAGGAATGCAGCCCTGTGGCCACCTTGATTTTAGCTCCATGAAAATCTTTTAAAATGTATGATCTCCAGAACCACAAGACAGTGATTTTTAAATGGTGTGCCCTGGCACACCGGTGTGCTGCAAGAGTTTTAAAAAATGCAATACCTGACTATTTAGTCAGGGGCACTGACTTCTTTCCCTGTAGATTGTCAAATAAAAAAATGACAACGGCCAGCACAACATTAGCTGTCCAGTGCGAATAAATTAAAATTATACCTACTGTTTTTGTCAGATCGGCCAAAAATATGTTTTTTGATGTGCCATAGAATTAGTAATTAGTTTATGTGTACCATGAGATGAGAAAGGTTGAAAATTGCTGCCATAAGATTATTAAACTTGTGTCGTTTTAATCCACTAATTTTACATTTCTGAAAAGGATGAAGTAATTGGCAGTGATAAAAATTAACATGCAAATAAATTACTCGAAGATTCTCATGATGGAGGTGATTATAAATTTGCTAAATATTAACTTTAATTTTTTTTTTTCAGAATATCTTGTACACATTTCACATGACTTGCTGAAATGGAAACATTCTTGAGAAAGAGGTTTAACTGAAGAACTAATTTCATGTCCTGGCGGGTCTTTTCTTGGACTCTGAATTGCCTAATGGAAAATTAGTTCATAATAAAATTTTTGGAAGTAAGTTTATTTAAGGGTCTTGAATGGAGCCATTTCTGTTTTTCTGAGCATATTTTAATCAGATCCATTTTACTCCTCAAAGGCAAGAATGCCTCCCTACCCTGCTGCAGATTATGAAATACCCTTTTTAGTCCAAGTAAAAGATGGCAAAGTAAGCATGACGTCAATCTGGTTGTATATGGTTATAATTCCTTTTCATGGGTGTCAATAGTTCATGGAAAGCTTTTTAAATTTTATTTTATTTTTTGGTGCACCGCAGAATTTTAGCTGTTTGTTATGTGTTCCATGAGATGAAATAAGTTGCAAATTGCTGCCCTAGGGCATAGTTTAAGGACTGGGTTGTTACAACCCGCAACTTCCCCCCCAAACCCAGCGCAGTGCCAGTTGTGTTGCTGAGTTAAAAGGACCCCCTGCTAAAAAAAATTAAAAAGCCGGGCCAGTGTGGCTCAGTTGTTGTGCGTGGACCCATGCACCAAGATGTCGCCTGTTTGATTCCCAGTCAGGGCACATGCCCAGGTTGTGGGCCCAGTCCCCAGTGGGGGGCATGCAGGAGGCAGGGTGGCTAGTTAATGTTCTCTCTCATCATGTTTCTATCTCTCTCTCCCTTCCTTCCTCTCTCTCTCTCTCTAAAAAAAAGGAGGGGGCTTGCTGCAGGAGCTATTGGCCCCAGGTCTGCGACAGCATGTGCCCTGGCTGCAGCCTGACTCCTGGGGCACCACGCGCAGGTTCCGTGGGGGCTCAAAGGCAGCACGTGAAACTTTTTTTTTTTATCCTTACCCGAGGACTTTTTTTTTTTTTTTGTTCAGATAGAGTGAGAGGGAGAGAGAGGAAAAGAGAGAGAGAGAGAAACATTGACGTGAAAGGGACACATCGAGTGGCTGCCTCCTGGGCCGGGGGCAAACTGCAACCGAGGTACGTGTCCTTAGTGGGAACCGAACCCGGGTCTCTCTGGACCACAGGCCGAAGCTCTAACCGCTGAGCCAAACTGGCCAGGGCAAAACTTTTTTTTTTTTGTATGTCCCATAAAGAAAATAAAAAATTTTCAACATAAAAAGAAGAGAGAATAACAAGAACGTTCTTCCCCAACGAATATGACAGTAAGAAGTGAACCTGATAATTTAAAAAAATACTGAAATGCTGCCAGGGGTCAGACTCTTGCCAGCCACCTGGTTATTTTCTGCATAGTTTTCAGAGACCTGTCCAAGCTTATTTGGCACAGTGGAAGTTTCGTTATTGCTGAAATTGTTTGCAAGACTCTAAGAAAAATTCTTTACAACATATGTGGGATTATCAAGACTGTGTTTGAAAGAAAACTGTAATAGATGCTTTCTCTTTGAGGTCTATTGTAGTCACTCTGGCAGCCCAGCCTAAATCCTACCATCTTGCTTTGGAGGTACTCGAAGGGAAACATGTTTCATTTTTGTGAAGAGCTGTCTGACACAGGAAAACTTCACCTTCAATAAGATTATTTCTGGGCACAAGAACAACAGAAGCATTGTTTCTTCAAAATCACTGCAATGCACTTCAGAAGTCCTCCTGGTAGAATATGCTTCAATTTATGTCCTATTATTGCTGTCAGAGCTTTTGTGTTCAACTCTCTTTTGTTTCCAAATGGTAGGTAGAGTTGTCACTCCATAGACAATTCAGAGAGGTGTTCTGAACTGTCATTGTTTAGGAAGTTTTTATGCTTCTGAAGACCGCGGAAGAAAGATTCAGTACAAGATGTTAGGTCAGACACCTGAAGGTGTTCTACACTTAATTCCATTGTATGTTTTCTCTACCCGAGGGTATCAGTGATTTCATGTGAGGGCATTTTCTTTGATGAGGTTCACAGATAAAGTACAGGACGTTTTATTTCGATCAGTTTGGAAGTGGCTGGGGGTGGTTATATGTGTAAGAAAGCTTTCATGGCTTTCTAAATTTCCTATATTCTTTGCTCTGTAGTTTTCGATTTCATCCAGACACAAGTTTTTAATTTACGTGTCCTCCGTTTTAATTCTTTGAGAAAGAAGCCCTGTATGCTCTGTGAGACCTCCTATGGAAATAAGCAAAATGTGATACACTTACAATCAGTACTTCACAAGATGCCTTCACCCACGTTTATTTGACATTGACTTTTTAAAATCACAGAATATGTTTACATAATTATTTTTTTTAATTAATTAATTTTAGAGAGAGAGAGAGAGAAACATTGATGTGAGAGAGACACATGGACTGGTTGCCACCTACATGGCCCTGGGGGACAAACTGCAACAACCAAGGTATGTGCCCTTAGTGGAAACCAAACCCGGGTCTCTCTGGTCCATGGGCTGATGCTCTAACTACGGAGCCAAACTGGCCAGGGCTCAACTTTTTAATTTTCCTCTTCTGTGATGTGGTTTATCCCCCTGGGAGTATGTCTCATTTACAGGTTCAAGAGCATTCTTAATTTATTTACCCTTGAAACTCAATTTTTGGTTCTTTGTTTTTTGTTCTGTTTTATCAAATTAAAACTAAAACTATCATGTGACCCAGCGATCCCACTTTTGGGTGTATCTCCAAGGGTTGAAATCAGGATCTCAAAGAGATATCTGCACCTCCATGTTCATTACACTATTATTCACAATAGCCAAGATTTAGAAACAACTCAAATGCCTATCAACAGATGAATGAATAAAGAAAATTTGGTACATACATACAATGGAATATTATTAGGCTTTAAAACAGAAAGAGCCCGGCTGGTGTGGCTCAGTGGCTGAGCACCGACCCATGCACCAAAAGGTCACCGGTTCGATTCCCGGTCGGGGCACATGCCCAGGTTGTGGGCCTGATCCTCAGTGGGGGGCATGCAGGAGGCAGCCAATCGATGTTCTCTCTCATCGATGTTTCTCTCTTTCTCTCCCTTTCCCTTCCTCTCTCTCTAAAATCAATAAAGAAAAAGAAAAATTTAAAAACAAAGAAATCCTGCCATATGCAACAGCATGGATGAACCTAGAGGACATTATACTAAGTGAAATAAACCAGTCACATGCTGCATAATTCCCCTTATATATGTTATCTGTCAAACACATAGAAACAGAGAATAGAATGGGGGTTGTCAGGGGCAGGAGGGAGGGAGAGATGTTGCTCAAGGAGTACAGAGTTTCAGTCATACAAGGCGAACCCTTTCCAGAGATCTGCTGTACAACACAGTGCCTGTAATTTACAGTACAGGATTGTGCACCTTAGTATATGTTAAGAGGATAGATCTCATGTTAAGTTTTCTTACCACAAAAACAAAGCAAAACAAAACAAAAAACCAAAAAGCCTCCTCAAAAAAACAGAAACAAATGTTCAAGGTAATGGATATGTTTAGTACCTTGGTGATGGTATCACGGGTGTATCCATACATCCAAACTCATCCTGATATATAAATGAAATAAGTGCAATGTTTTAGCAATTATACTTCAAAACAGCTTAAAATTAAATTTATCAACTTTTTCTTTCTACCAATAGAGACTTGCCTGTCTTTTGTACCTTTTTCCTTGAAATCCTTACTCCTTCCATATACATCTTCTCCAGAACTGTATTGATTACAAAAGTACTGCATGTGCCTCTGTTTGCATCTCTCCACACCTCCCTTCTGGAGAACTACATCTCCCTCTGGAATGCGGAAGTGGAATGTTCTGCCAAAGTTTTCTGCTTTGCTTTGTTTCTATTTCCCACAGTTTTTTTCCTATAGGAAATTTCAGCAGTTCATCCTTAGAGCAGTAATGTCTATTTTATTTTTTTCAGAATCTTACCTGGGAATTTATAACAATTATGAAAATATGTATTTTCTAGACATTTCATTGTAACATTTCAGTTGTGAAAAGTTGGAGAGAATTTAAGCATTCACCAATAGAAGATGATGACATTATGACAGATTATGATATATTTATAAAGCATAATGCTATATTTTAAAGTGAAAGAGCAAATTCAATCATGTAAAGCATAATATGTAGGTACTTTGGGAAAAATGATTGGGAGGATATAAACAAAATGTTAGCAGTGGTTATCTGTGGATGGTGGAATCATTCATTTTATGTGTAATTTTTTATTTTCATTTGTATGTTTTTCTTGGATTTATTATTTTTAATAGCAAAGTACATGTATGTCTTTTTTTTTTTTTTTGCAGTTACAACTTATTTTCATTTGGAAAAATCAGTTGCAATTCACAAATTTTGCAATTACCTTATTAAGCATTTTGTTTTCCTTTCATATATTCTCATATAAAAGCCTAAACACCATATTTATTGTCATAGTTTTAAATGAAACCTATCTTGTCTATTTTCAAAGACATACTTTTCTTCTGGGAAGTATTCCTTTCTCTTAACATTTTAATGCAGACAAATAGATTTTAAAGTTTTCTACTGACTTACTGTGATTGTATGCCTTATTAAAACCAGACTCAGTTCTGAAGTGGTAATTTCTAGGTCTGCTATTAGTGGCAGTTGTAAGAATTGTTTTTCAAGTTTGTGGGTGTGGTCTGGATGCTTTGTCAGTGAAATTATATACCTTGCCAGTAGGAGGCATACCTATGATGGTTATATTTTCTAAATTAAATATTAAAATAAATCAAAGACCTTATCATGACCTCTACAAACTATGGGATGGATATTTTCAAAATTAAAAGTCTCAGAAAATCTCTTACAAATTATAGTGTAATATATTGGCATAGAAGTGATATGATCTATGAAATAAAGATTTTGATACCTTAATGGCATCTTTAAAATAATTTAGGAGAACCAGTTTATTTGATATACAAGAGAACACTCTGCAGCAGAGATGTAACCTACCCCAAATCTCCTGACAGTTATTGGCATTTAATAAATAATTACTGAATAGCTACTATGTGCCACGCACTATGCTAGACATTAGGAATTTTTATTTTATTTAGATTTAAATTATTTCCAATTTCTTCTGAGTTTTGATCTCAAAAAGTACTTCTTCCACTGTAAGTGATCTCTTCGTTTTCTGAAAAACTGATTGCAGGTTACCACAGGATAATTTCTCACAATCTCTTTGATACTGTTAGTCTTTATTTACTGCTTTCTAGTAGTTTTTCTTGTATATAAAATCTCTCCCATTTGAAACATAAAATTTTATTTTCAATTATATTAACAATTAAAGGAATACATTCCCACAGAATAAACAAAAAAAGAAAAAAATTAGAGAATAAAAAATTCTCATACATGCGCACATATCCACACACATTCAAATATACACACATGCACATACATGCTATCCCAGCTCACTTTCCAGGTTTACTGCTACCCTTTTAAACCTTGGTGTGCACTCTTCCTGACAGTTTTTTATGCATTTAAACTTGCCTGCAAATAAATACATAATGATATAGTTATTTTACAGAACTGCATTACAGTGTTTATATTTTACCAACCAATGTGCTTTTCTTTTATTATTTTCCTTTATTATTTTCTTAATTTATTTTTGTTACAGATGTTTCTCCTTTTTTATCCCCATTGACTCCCTCCTCCCCATCCCAAGCACCACATCCCCAGCTTTGTTGTCTGTGTCCACTGGTTATGGGTACATGCATATAAGTTCTGTGGTTTATCTCCCCGCCTCCCAACACACACACCTCTTCTGAGGGTTGTCAGTCTGTACCCTACTTCCACGTCTCTGGGTCTACCCTGTTCCTCAGTCTGTTATGTTCATTATATTCCACAAATAAGTGAGATCATGTGATATTTGTCTTTTCTGTTTGGCTTGTTTTGCTTAGGATAATACTCT